AACTTCCCTGAAAGGAAATTATTCATGCTTCTATACTACAGTTTGTTACCAACCTCCTCAGAGAGCAAGAATTTTCCAAATTCCAGGTGATGTCTTTCTAAAATAGAGGATCCATGAAGTTTAGCTAAAGGATTTTGAGATCTGTTTGTATAAAGGAAAAATTGAAGACATTAGCACAGCACTTAAAAATTACAAGAAGTGTCTAATTTTGTATTTCATTTCTGTCACACGTATAAATTCCAGTTTTTGAAAAAGGCTTATGAGTAAAACTTTTTAATAAGTAATGATTTCAGTCTAATAAAAGGCTCTTGTGACATTGCTTATAACTCTTTAGACAGTGTGTAAAATAGTCTTCCAACTACAAATTTCACTCCAAATACTGTTTATGACTGCATTGTAATTACTCAACTTAGTAAGTTTGTTTAATTGCTGAATAACTACATGTTGATATCTAGTAATTGGAACAAAAAACCTGCAATCCTTGGACACGTTACTGAAAACCAAGGCCCACAAGCCAACTTTATTTAACATTTTTCCAAAGCTCCAGGATATATAAGAATTTATAGACAGCAAGCACTGCAGAAGAGCTGGGATCTGACTACTTTACATTTAAAGTAACAGAGCCTTGACTAGGCAATGAAATGATGCAATTGTTTATCTGTAGCTAATGACTACCAACTGAGAGCAACATCCTCATAGGTGCTTTGTTTCTGTAGGTAGTGAGGTCAATGCAAAGCATGGTGCTTTCTCCATAGATGCAGCAAAAAATCATCATCCAATGTCCAGGATGATTCTGTAGACATCCTAAGTCTCCTGTGATGCTCAGATACTGAGTGCCTGCTCTGCACCTGTTTCACACTGTGATATGGACTTCTGCTTTAACTAAGGGAGGTTTGCTAGGAGGTAAAAAAAGCCCCAGAGAGCACAGCAAATTGTCCCCACTGGCCAAAGCATAAGACCAAACACTGCAGCAAGTTGAAAAGCAAGGCAACTTGTAAAAGAAGGTTGTCACCCTTGTGTGTTAAATATAGCTGTACTGGAGTTTGGTGTGATCACAACCTAATTCCACTCCAAGAGAAAATGGTTTGAAGTGGTAATAAAATGCTTACTTCATTTGGTAGAGGTTGTTGGTTCCCCTGTGGTCAATATCATGGCACAGAGCTGCAGTTACCATTGCAAGGGCTTCGAGGTCGGTGTAGTAACGCTTCAGTTTGCCAGTCTGGAGGGAAAGAATTTATATGCCATATGTTAACATTTCTGACAGGAAAAAGTACTGTGTGGTGACTGTTCTGTGCTGGGGATGTCCTGGGACAGTCCAGGAGACTGAAAATATATGTGAACTGAAATGCAGCACACAGTTGACTTAGGTTAAAACAGGGAATCAGCTAGGAACAAAATATTTCAGATCCAGACATATGCATCTGTAGTATTTATATGTTTGATGCACACTTGCAGGGTTGGCTACCCACTGCTATAGAAGCCTCGGCCCTAGGATTCACCCAGGCTGTCATAAACAACCCTCACAGTCACTGGACACAAAATACTCTGTGAAAAGTCTCTGTGTCTTTCTGGGCAATGTGGTTGTCAAGCTGAATCACCCAAAAGATTGTCCACACCTGTGTCTGTTCTGGATGGAAATGGAAAGCACGGTTTTGTGTCCATCCCAGCCAGATGACTTCTGTCTGCCTCTTACTGTCAGAATCTACTGGAAGAACAGAAGTCCTGTAGCCTCTCTCCTCCACTTTGCAGAAGGATTTAATCTGGAATCTATTCAACACCATACACATCCGTCTCAATGAGAATTCATGCTCTCAATTTATTGGCCAGTATTGACCAAAGCTTTCTTCATGTGTAATTCAATGACTGTCCCTTCAGGCAAATGGAGATCTAGTTTTGCAGGACTTGTGCTAGGAGTTACAAAACCTTTTCCTACACCAGGGTTCAAAGGGAGCCCTCCATATTTCTCAGGTGTGACAGAAGACCTGCTGTAAAAAAGCTGTGCCACAGAATTAGCCGGGGTGGTGCTGCCTTACCATCAGCAGTGTGAACATGGTCTGTGCCACGTTGAAGCCGTGACGCCAGTTGTGGTAAGTTATCTTCCGGTATCCTTTGCTGACAGAGTACACAAACCTTACCAGGACCTGCCAGGGGGGAAGAGCATGTTACTGTGGTTGATGAAGCTGCTGCCGGTTCATCTTGCAATAAGGGTCATGTGCAGAAACCACGGATGAGGCTCAAACCAGCTCTGCAGAGACAGGCCCAGAAAGGGATTGGAATTTGCAATATCATCAGCTGCCCTGACAATGCTGATAGAGTAAAGCCTAGTAGAGAACAAAAGTGGATACTGAAATATAGCTTATAGCTGTTTTCTAACATCGCTCGCTCACTCTCTCTCTCTCTCTTTCTTTTTTCCTTTTTTTTTTTTTTTTTTTTTTTTTTTTTTTTTTTTTTTTTTTTTTTTTTTTTTTTTTTTTTTTTTTTTTTTTTTTAAATAATACAAAATCACAGAGATGCCTCTGGACTAAACAAGAATCAGCAGTGTCTGAAGGAAAAGTGATTTCATCTTACTGTTTGTGAATGTATTGACTTTTTCTGCTCTGTTTATTTACGTTGTCACTTATAAGATCTATCCCTTTCTCTTGTGATTTATTAATACTCATGTCTCTCTACAAGAGATATGGATCCATAGATGTAGAGGTGAATGAAATTTATATCATCTAAAGAACTACAATATAGGGCATTAAATAGAAAACTGTTTTTTCCTCTGCAGTCTGCTTCTCCATGTATACTCCCACTTGTAGCTATGCAGTTTTCTCATTAAAGAGCCAATTATTTATTAATGAGTGTTCATTTCTCAAAATCTCAATTATAAGAATCACTGCTTTTCACAACTGTTCCAGGGGTTAGTTGTTCCGGAGTAGATATATTTAATATTTTTGATACTAACATTCTGCCTGTAAGAAGCACAAAGGTAATTCCCATTTAACTCCCTCCCAATTGCCATCCAGCCTTTCCAGGGTGGAAACTCTTCCCGCAGTCACCCCCAGATCCCACTAGATGGAAATCGACTTCACATGATGTGCAGAGAAATCCCTTTGGGAGCAGCAGAGCTGCTGAAACACACAATTCCTATAAGGTTTTGAACTGCAAAAGGCATGAGTTCACAAGTCAGAGCTTGGGGTGTGAGCCCATGTGTCACTACGTGCAATTTCCCCCTTAATTCACTGAACAGGAGAAGGTTGTTACACAGTGCCTACCCAAACCCTGTCTCCTGACTGCAGGGCAAATTTACCTGAAATAAAAAGTTTGCTGTGGGAATATGTCAGCCTTGGCCCTATCAGAGGGGCTACAGGAGAACAAACCAGTATTTAACATATTCCTATAGGGGTAAAAATATGGTTCCTTGTCCCCACAGGGTCACACCATTCCTGTCAACAGGTTGGTGCCAGCTGTGCCAAATGAAGCCACGTGTGGGTTTGTATGGGGATAAAAACCAAAGGGGCTTGCCAGAGTGTGTTCCAGGATATCTTGGCTGAAAGATGCAGGTTATGTACAAAGCAAAAGAAACAGGCGGGCAGGTAGGCACTCCCTACCTGTGCTGTGCCTGGGAACTGTGTTTTTACACTGCAGCTGTGAGAGGCATTGGATACAGAACGTGCAAGAAACGTTTTGCAGAGTCCACCACTCATCCATACAGACCTCATGGCAAACCCACATGTGTGGCAGGCAGTGAGGAGCAGAAGACAGCAGAAATTATGCTCCAACCCCACACGAGAGACTGTTCCCTGCCCTCAGTGGGGCTCAGGACACACGACCCCCTCCCTGCAAGCCCCCGTGAGCTGTGCTGGGCACGCACAGGGACCTCAGTGCCAGCTGCAGTGTGGCGAGTCTGCTGTCCATCCAAGACAGGAGACCCTGGCTTTTGCCAGCTCATACCTCCTGTGGGATCTGGAACTTTTTCACCACGCCAAGCTCGTAGTACATCTGAATGCCACACTTCACCAGCTCTAGCTCAGTGCAGTCAAAATCAGAGAACCTGAACTCATAGATTTCAAACTTAGTGGGCCCCGGGAGTTCTTCTTTCTGTAAGAGAGGCGGGTAGGTTTATTGCTGTGCTGCTTTTGTCATTCCTGAGCTTTGCTGAATAAAAATTTATCAGTCTGATGCTGCTTTTCTTTTAGAATATAGCACATAAATAGACTGAAATGAAGCTTTTCATAATAATCTCATTAATGGAGGAACTGGGAGGCAGTTTTGTGCAGGAAATATTGTTTGTTTCCTGTTAAGCATTTGATTTTATATAGTTTGAAGGCTCAAAATGGGGGAAGACTTACAGCCCTCCTTAATTACTCTGAAAAAACAAGCCAAAGTGGCTGCTGTGTTTCCAGATGGACTTTGAAGCCCTTGAGATAAAAAGGCAGAGAGCAGAGACTCCCCAGGAGCCGTGGAAGGCACGTGTTGACACGTACTAATGATAGTCTCAAACTCAGGCAGCAGAGGAGGGCAGGGTATGCTTTGCTCCCACCCTCTCCAGGTTAACAGCATGCCAACACTGGGAACTCTTCCCTACATCTATGCAGGCAATATTTGCTTGCCAGGGCTGTTCTCTCCAGCAGTGCATTGTTCTTACCAGGATGCTTGCCAGCTCCTCTTCGTCACACTCACTTGGCTCCTTCCCCAGCTTTTCTCGTGTTGGCTGCAAAAAGCATGAATGTGTTAATGAGACACCTGAACCCCCCTGGAATTTTCACTGGGCTATTTTGGGGCAATCTAGAGCAGCTCTCATACGTAAATTGTGCTTCTTTCCTGGACCTTACTTCAATTTTTTGTCTTTCAACATATTTTTCCTGGCAGCACTCTCCCCCTCTTACATTTTGTTCTGTGCTTCCCTCACTTACAAATGTCCCCCTAGAGCCAGTGTCGCAGCTGGCTCCTCTAACTTGCCATCCTCAGCACAAAGGAAGTTTTGAGGAATAAATCAGTTTCTGTTCCACTCTTACAGCCCTGCCCTGAGTAGCACGTCCAAGGCTGGCTTTGTTGAGGAAGTTAGAAAGAACATAGTGGTGCAGTGTGCCAAGGGGGAGGGCAGATCACAGAACCAAAAGAAAGATTTGTCCTGCCCCTGTGCAGTTACTGGGGCCAGGTGCTGCCACCCCTCACGGTGAAATTGAGAGCTGTGTCTGTGCCATACGTCATGGGTGTGAGCTCCACATTGTCAGGCATTACCAGAATTTCCTGGATTTCATCCTTGTCACATTTCACGTGGTAGAGCACCATGTCCTGAGCAATGTCCTTACGGTTCTCCAACTTGTTCATCTTATCGTATGTGTCTGTGTTGAGCACAGACCAACCCAGGAACTGTGTCAAGGACTTGGTAAGGGGAAGAGAAGGAAACAGAGAAATAGCCATAACATCTGCTCCTCAAAGACACAGAAATATAACACTGTATGGTACATTTTTAAAGAAACACAAGCTCAACTTTGTCCAAAATTCTAGCAATGAGCAACCACATCTTTGCTCCCAACTGTGACTTGCTCCTCAGCAAAGCAGCTCCCCTGCTGCTGAATCTGCCCAGGCTTTGAGAGCACCAATTCTGTGGAGGTTGAAGCACCCTCTGTCCTGGTCAGAGTACAGAAAATTAATTCTGTGTTTCTGCAGGTGTCTCCACACCTGTGGAAAGCTTTCTGTCACAATGGTGACAGCAGATCAGGAGCTCTCACATCAAAGGAGAGCAGGGTGGTCTCATCACCTTTCACATGTATTTACTCACATCCTGTGCTTGCTTTCAGCTTGTTTGCTGTCCAGTGGCCAATTCAAACTGATTTTTTTATCTATGGTCTTTTTTGTTTGATAAGAAAAGTCTGATTCAGGAAGTGTCCGGATTGATAACAAGTGTCAAAAGCTAAATACTTACATTTCATTGAAACTAGCATAGGAACATTTCTAAGGAGCAAGGTCTTTAATCACAGCCACTGTTGGTGAATTTAATAGCTGGCCTCCGTTTTTATCCTAGCTACATAGATAATTTCTATGTCATTTTTTTGTGAGACTTGCTCAGCCAGTGAGAACCAGCTGGCAGGTATGTGAATACAGGTACAGTAGCTGCTCATGGCTAGCTGTACAGTCCAAGAATGCTGGAAAAAAAAATCACAAGAACATAGCTGGGTTTCTCATACCAAACTCCCTCAAGTATTCCAAACAGTTGCTTTCAAAATTTTCGAGCTGATGTATAACACCACTCTAAGCAGCAAAGATACCTACTTAGCTGCAAAATACTCGGGATGCTTTGCAAGTGTACATGGAACAATAGTGACCTCTTCAACTATATGAATTTCTTCCATCAAGAAACTATACCTCCATTAGGGTTTCATCCTGTTCATCAAATGGTTTCCCATCTTTTCTGTTATAAAATGTGACAACACCAACAATTTCTTCTCTTTTATTCACTATTGGCATGGAGAGAACATTTTTGATAGTCCATCCTGATTCATCTAGAGGACCTTCCTTGAAACAACAGCAAGCAGAAAGACATCATGAACTTAGAATGTTTTAATATTATGGTCATGTAAATACATGAGCACTCTGGTTTTACCTTCAAACTACACACAAAAGAAGTATTTATATACATAATATTGACTCTACATTACATTTCTGAAAAAAAAAAAAAAAAAGTTGCATCCTTGCTAGAATGGGAAGTTTTCACGATACCTGAAAGTTAAACATCTCATCTGCAGCAGCATTCATAATGTTGCAAATCTAGGGGATCACACAGAAGAAAAATTATTACAATATGGTCAATGAGAAGTTTAACTGCCAAAACAAAGGACTGAATTGCTGAGAAAGCAGAATTAGTATTATTTATCCCAGAAAGACTTGAGGAACCCCAGGGTAAGTACTTACAAATCCACTTTCAGCCACATAGGCTGGCAGTCCAGTAACTAGTGCCCAGTGATCCGGGGTAGGATTTCTAACAAAAGAAAAATGTATAAGGGAAATTAAATGTTTATATTTACTGAAAAAAGAGATCATGGAGCTGAAGTGTGTTCAGCTGATTGTATAATCCAGGTTTAGACCTGGAACCCCCAGTCAATAAATGGTTCTGTTACTTTCTCAAAGGATACATGTGCACAAGAAAAAATTTTCCACATAAGTAAATACTTTCCCCTTCAAACATTCAAAATAAAATAACTGATAAAATATCAGGTTGCAATATATAAAAATTCATTCCTAGGAGTGAAGGCCATGTCTCAGACCTTCAACACAGAGAACATCCTGGGTGAGGCTCAGCCACTGACACAGGGAAGGTACAAAGGAGAGTGATGTCTCTGCCTGGCAAGGACAGCAGAAAACTGCAAACAATCAAGGCAGCTCACTTCTCCATCTGAAAAACATCACTGGTTGAATGAATTTTGGATCCCAATGCCCTTGAGGAAATCTTTATCCCACAGAAATGTGAGTTGAAGTGCCAACTTACATTCTGACTCTCAATCCTCTATCAGTCCTTTATGTTTCTCCACATGGATGTCTTTAAAACACGGAGAACCTTGATTTTAGCTACACCCTGTGTCGGTACATACATTCAGAGACTGGGCACTTACGGGATGACTTTAATGTCTTCTTTTCCATGTAATATGTAATCAATGACCTTGTAAAAGACTATTTCCTACAAGTGAAAAAAAAGAGCGATGTTAAAATAAGTGGTGAGCCAATCCATCCAGAGAGGAGAAAGTTAAAGAAATCTTGTTTTCACGTACCCTGCCATCCGGGGTTCGAGGTCCTGAGTAGGGAGGTACTTCTCCCAGCAGGACTGGCCACAGGTCAAAAAACTCCTGGTTTTAAAATTGAAAAAGAATGTTTAGAGTAGAAAAGTGCATTCTGTCTCAAGCCTCAGTGTAGCCATTGCTTTACTATGCTGGTTTTGGTGTTGTGTAAACAAGGCATGAAATAATAAAACTAATTCAATACTAGACATCAGAATGATACCCAGATATCCAAATCTGGGCATGCCAGGTGCTTTTATATGGCTGCATATTATTACCATATACTGCCTGTACACAGAGTGCTGATTCATTCAGTGAACAGTGAGCACTGGCTGTACTCAGAGCAAACAGCTCTGACAATGTTTTTGTGTTCTTAACTCTCCAAAGTGTGGCTATTGCCTGACCTACAACTTGCCAGATTTGAAGAAGAAAAATACTTCTTTTGCTCTTTTTTTAAATGCTACATTATAATGTTGATCAAAGTGTCTTTAGCTTACACTAATGATCTTTTAATATACTTCTTTACAAGACAATATGCTGCAAGAGCTCTGTCAACAAGACAGTCAGCCTGGCCATGGGACTAAGAGGGCTCCACTGGCAAGGATGCTGTGTAACCCCCACATAAAGTTTGCCAAACTATCAGACCAAATCAGAGGTAACTTCAATTCTGCCAGATTGTATTCACAAAGCCAAATTTCATCTGAAAGCCTGGATATCGTGAGCACAAATGAGTCCTTGAGGAGGGTGGTTGTTTGTCACAAGTCACTTTGTGATATGGCCTCTTTTCTCTATTAATATTGAAACCTCAGATTTCTCCAGATCTCAGAGACACTCCAGACAAGTTGTTAGCTGGTGGTTCCATAGGTGTTTCTCTATACTTCCAATACCCACAGACTTTGTCAGGTTTTGTTTGTGCTGCAGACTTTGACCAGGATTGCCAAAGCCAGACACCCCTTCCCCTCCTCTGTCTTCCCAGCCTCCAACAGTCCCATTTCAGTGATAAGTTCTTCCCCTTTCTGATTTCATTAACCCAATTATCACAATCTTTACGCAGTAAAAAAATGCCAAGCAAAGTAGGAATAGTGGCTGAGGGTTAGCTTGCACTTTTACTGCCTCAGTAAGTCTTATCTGCATGCACCACCCCTCAGTGGATAACAGCCAGCAGGAAGATGCACAGCACATGTGAGCTCTCACCTTCTGCTTCGTCATGTCCAGGAGACCGACTGAGTATCGGTCACAGTTCAGGTATGCCCTCACCGTGTAAAAAGCCTTGTGGAACTGCCTCTCAATGTCTGTCAGCTCCTCAAAAACCTTATTAGCTGACCACAGCAGCACCTGCAGGATAAAACCAAAAGGTAAGCACAGCCTTTCTCCAAGAGATGGACTTCCCAAATGTTGGGTTACAGTTCCTCAGAAGTGCAGTACAAGTTCCTACATTGCTTCTTCACACTGGGAATTACTAGGGAGAAAGAGCCAGGTCATCACAGTGTTACATAGGAGTCAAACGTTACCAATATGCACAAAAAAAGTAGTAGTGTCAGGCAAAGAACTGTCCCCACTTATATTTTATATGCATTAGTAAAATTTTACAACCAAAACCAGTTAACACCAATGGCATTGCAAATTCCAGAGGCTACTGTTTGAAATATCTGGGTTAACACTTTCCTCAAAGTGTCTTAGCATCTGTTTCGTGTGTGCATCAGCCTATGATACCTCCCTCCCTCTTCTGGTACATTCTACAGATGTACCTTTAAGAAAGCTGTTGCTATTAGCCTCTTTCATTTGTAAAAGCAGAGGTTACACAAATAATGCTCTGAATTGGTAAGGAAGTCACCTACACTCTTGCTTAGCTTAGTTAATGCATGTGTGCCTGAATCCCAGGTGTGTGTCTGGCTTCCTGAGCCCAGGACATAGGAGGACCCTGCTTCTGAAGAACTGAAGCTGCAGCTTGAAGCAGACTGGACCTGTGCTTTGAACAAGAAATTATATATATATATATATAATTATTATATTCTAATAAGACTTTTGCTGTTGGGATTTGCAATATTAAAATCCTAGACCACTTTTGAGAATGTCATTTGCTGGCTCTGTACTTCTGTACTTCAAATTCTAACTCAATGAACTATATTAACTTTCACAGAGCCCTAAAGACATATATTAGTCAGAGGTTTGACAACTGAGCAGTGTGTCCTGCATCTCCTTCTTGCTTTCCTCCCTTTGTGTGGGACCTGCTCAGACAGCAGCAATACATGAACACAGGACTCCTGGGTCCACTCCTCGTGGAAGCATTAGGCTAAAAAACCTTTGCTAGTTCTACTTTAGTTAACTATTCATCATTGCTGGACCATCATTCATGTTTTTGATAAATGAAAAAATTAGGCAAAGCATAATAAATTCATTAGAAAGTATAAGTGCCATCCTAAAGCTCCAAAATAAACTTTCATTCTGCATCCATTTTGCCAAGATAGGCATTTATTCTCCATGGCAATCCCATTGGAGATTAGAGTGTGGCTGCCATGAAGCACAGAGGCAATTCCATGTCCTCCTGAGTGGCAACTACTGCCTGCTGCACAAAGTGATCCCAAGGATTCACATCCATCCCAATAAATCTGAGAGTCCTACTGTAACCCAACTAATGGGAAAGTATGGTGCCAGAATTTCAATCCAGAATATCCTAATAAACCCCTAATATATGTTCTTTTCTACTGATGGAGGCCGATAAAACATGTGTGTGACAGCAATTTTACTGGCTCCAAGAGGAAATTCACTAACACTTTTAATGAACAGATAAGGGGAAAATACCACATTCTAAAGTGTTTCAGAAAATCTCTTGGTGCTGCTGTCTGAAATGATGAATGATCCAAGAGTGCTTCACAGCCTCAAGTCAACAAAACACCTAGAGGTCAGTCCTGCTGAAACTGGTGCCACCACATCAGGTCCTGCAGTTTTGCCAAAAGCAGAAGTAAGACAGAGTAATGAAGGACTCTGGGAAAGAAGCAGTATCTGAAAGCAGTTGTGGGCATCTTTTATTTCTGCTCTTCAGGGACAAATCTCTGAAGAAGATCAGATTCACTCTTTAAAGATGAATGTATTAATTTGATTTTGAGATACCCAATTTGCATTTTCACACTTACCTGGCCTCTTCGAGTCTCACAGTTGTGAAGATAACTCAAGTGATAAATTTTCAAGTTCAGGGATGCAAAATTCAGATACTTCAGAAAAAGCTGAAAAGGCAAATTGTGAGATTGAATTGAATGCAGAAGCAACTACATGTGTACTGTATTTCATAACACTGCTTTACAAGCATCAAGGCTATTTCCCTAGATAAACACTTTGCTTTGCACTGTCATGATATGAGGCTTATCCCACTGTACCTCCCCTGAGAGATCTGAGATAAACATCCCCATTATAAGCCTCTTCTATGAGAGTGTGAGTGCTCTTAAGGGAAACAGTGGAGCTTCACTAAAGCAGGTATCACTAGAGTAAAAGGATCTCTGTTACAAGACAAAAGTAAAAAAGCTCTTTGATAGGAATTCAGCTACTGACCACTTACTGTTTCATCAGAGCTGGTGAAGTGTGGGCCATTCAGCTTATTTATAGCCACAATGACAGCAACCAAGTCTTTTCCATTCAAGATGGGTGTTGCAAGGATGTTTTTTGTAGTGTAATCGGTGAGCTCATCAACAAATGGGCTGAACTGGGCACACTGTTTAATAGAGAATTTACAAATAAACATTTTTCACAACGTGTCTTGAAACCAAGTCCAGGCACATCCCACTAAAGTAAGCTGCCTAGAGAAAGTTTTGCTTAAAAATTACTGAGAAAAATAAATGAGTTAGCAGAAAATTGGACCATGTAGAGATGATTAAGCTAACATCAGGAGCAGAGGCTTTTAACTTTCTGTGAAGACCTTGCCAATCATAAGCTTTTACATGTCAAACTCTCTCAGAACAAGGGGGCTCTCCACTGGTTATTCTCAGATCAATGCACTGCATAGCAGCTGAGTATAAACCAGTTCAGTCACTGGCAAGTTCACACACCCTCATTTTTCTGCTGCTTTTACCATGAAGTGTGTAGTCAGCTTGCAGCATCTACCCATAGTTTATCTTAAAAACTGGAGAAAGAATAGTCCAGGGAAAGCAGATGGGCAATCACTTCACCTGCACAGGGCCTTATTGACACCATCATCACCTGCCATGGGAGAGTGCAGGCATGGTCTTGCTGACCAAAGATCTTCTCCAAGTGAATAAATCGGCATCTCTAAGTCGTTCTATTTGTGTTAGGAAAAGCCACACAACTCTGATCATATTCAGAAGGCTGCACCAGAAAGAATGATCACTCCCTAATTAATCTTCTCCCCATACCTTCCCCCTTGCTGGCCTTTTCTGCCAAATGGGCTAGACCAAGCATTTAGTCTCTGGGTCTTCTTCAAAGGACTGGTATTATGGCAATGTCTAAAAGCACTAGAATTGGAGTGCAGCACTTATCTCACAGATCTGAAATCCTCCCCTGTATTTTGAGAAAAATCAGAAACCAAAAACTTTAAAATTTAAGTCACATTCTGATGCTTCCCCGAACACCAACAATATGCCCAGCAAAAAAGAACCCAGGTTACAGAACCAAAACATGGTCTTCAGTGTTCTGTGGAAAACAAGGAAGATTTGCTGAAAGGTTGAGATATGCCTGCACTGAGCAACAAATGAATGAATAAACAGATGGTCTCTTTGTAACTAGCAAACAATAGATGGAGTAATCCCAAATGCTATATTTGGGTCACATGGATTTTAGTTTTATACCTATTATTAGAACAAGCAGATTGTTATTCCTGCCATCCAGGTTTACATGACTGAACCAGAAGTACGGGGAGTAAATACTGTCATGAAGGCACAAACATAAAACATTAAAATCCCTCAGGTCCCTCCTGAAATTGCAGACAGCAATTTTTGCTGAAAGAGTTTTTTTAGTCTAAGATTGTCTGCTTCTGATGAAGATACACAGCTTACAGTTAATGTCCCTGCTCTGGGGTCCACTCCCTCTGTTAGATAATCATGCCTCTAAATGCTCTTAGCTAAACCTTCATCACAGCAAACATTTCCAAAGTTCTTTTGTCGTGGAAAACCCTCTTTGGACTCACTGTAAAGAACTTCTATGTCTTTGCCATTTATTTATAGAATATAAAACCGTGTGGAAAATTCCACGTGGATTCAGTGCAGATCTCTGACTACTTCACTCTCCTCTGCTGGACTAGATGTGATTTTTTTTTTTTTTTTAGTTAGACAGGCAAGGTGTAGCAGTGCACTGTTTGCAGGCATTAAGATCTAGTGTAATAAATGTGCTTAGTTTCACCTCACCCCACAGATGAGATGGGAAGGAACTTTCAGACTTGTTACTTATTTCAAACACACAGCTACTACACCACAAGGGCTTTGACCAAGCACTGCCTCTTGACCCCTGTGAGCCTCTCTTCTACCTAGATAATACAAAAATGGCAAACATACCTCACGGACATCCTTGATGTTCATGGTTTTCTTGGTCTGAGCAACATGTCCCACAATGCCTATGTCCAGTGGATAGACAATCTCGCAGTCTGGGGCCACCAGGCATTCCTCCAGAGTACTTCCCTCCTGGATGTTAAAAAGCCTTGTTGCCAGTTCAGGAGTGCCATTCCTCTGCCTGTACATGAAGAGACTGCAGCGGTCAGCGTGAATAAGGGACCTGATTCTTCTCAAGGTCTTGAAAACAACTTTCTCCATGTTGATGCTTTCTTGCATGTCTTGGATCAACTCAAAAAGTATTTCACTCTCATTGTTATCCCAGGACTCTGTTTTTAGTTTCTTCTCAAAATACTGCTTGGCAAAAGCAGGGTTGCCATCAAGAAACTTTTCCACGTCGTCTTCACTAATGCTCATTGTGAATGCCCTGGATCTCGTGGGTAAGTAGTAGTCCAAAGACGTGCAAGCAGCACTCTAATTTCTCATGTGTCTCTTAAAATTTTGTAACAGAAGATGCTGCGTCTGGATTAACCAAGTTTGAAGTGTCCCTGCAAAGAGAGCTTGTCATCAGGAAGATGTATTCCTTTATAATGCTGAAGGTGAGTCTGTGGGAGGACAGATCTTCTCAACCAAAGAGATTAGATGAGCTCTACAAGAGCTTTGAGTCAACTTTCCACTTCTTAATCTAACTGCAAACAAAAACTGGGTACTCACAATGCCTAAAAACACTGTCCTGTCTCTTGATAAACAGAACACTTACTGAAACGATTCTGTTGAGGCAGCAGCAACAGGTAAGGAGTGCATCTCCTAACATTGAAATAAGCTCTTTAAAGTCTAATTAAATATGTACTGCTTGGGCCTAATCCTTGGCTAACAAGGTGACCATCTTATTATTTCTGCTCTCCCAGCTCCAAGCAATAGTAGGAAGTCCATTCTTCACAAAATAACCCAGTGGACAAAATATAAATAGTGAAGTGACACCACTCTTTTAGGACTCTCTGTACCATTGCTTGGCTCCTGTAAGGGTTGTTCTCTAAGGGAAGCACCAGTCCTGAATGCTTTAGTCCAGGGTTTGAACTGAATTGGCAAGGTCTGTGGTCTTTGTTTCTTGCTAGCAAGAGACACAACAGGAAAACATGCCTCTTAGTGGTATCCATATAGGAAGGAATCTGGAGATCTTCTGTTTGGGGTTGCTGAATTGAAGCACTCTGAGGAAATGTGGGAGGCCCTGCAGACAAAATGAAAAACAAACAGCAAACAAACCCCAAGCAAACTGGGAAGGTAGAAATATTTCCCTCATCACTATCAGTGGAGAAAGGGGGAGAATGATGGATGTGAGGAACAGGAGCCACAACACTGCAAACAGCAGGTTTGGGTCAGTGTGATGCTGGGAGGCAAAGTGCTGCAGAGGACATTACACTTCAGAAGAATTAAACAATGCACAGGAGATTTCATTACTGGAGAATAAGGGTGAATCCCATCTACTGCACTGCTGGAAAATAAGCAAGACTGAAGGAGTGGGGGGTCCAAGGGCCAAGCCTGCCCATGTCTATGAATATTGTCACTTCTTCCAGAAGTGTTTAAATCCAGACCAAATGTAAATGTGGATGCCTGGGAGGAAGGTGGCTTGTTGTGGCAATTCTCAGCCAGGATATTAAAATAGGATTATTGCTCAAGAACACATGAAGGAGGTGATATGTGCCACGCTGCCTTCCACAGTGATGTTCCAGCAGAGGAACAAGGACCTTCTCAGGTGTGGCATGGCGGGGGCTGCTCCAGGCCTCCAGAATGGGGTGCATGAAGCTTTTTTTTGTGAGGATTGTCCCAAGCAGAAGGCTTGGTGGAAACAGGGAATTTTAGTAGGGATGGCAGTGATTCAGGTTGAGGCTGTTCAGCAAAGTTTCACATGTTGCAGCAGTTTTCTGTGTAGAAAGGGTGACAGAAAGAGCAAGAGGCAATTTTCTTTGATTTTCACTGGAGGCAACAGCTAGAACTAGCAGAAAAATGAAGGTGGAAGACATCTCAAGTGAGGGAGACCATGAAATTAAAGTTTCAAACTGGAAAAAACAGGCAATTTTGTAAATTATGTGTTCCTGTTAATCATAAACAAGAGGAAAAGTGGCAGAAAAAGTGTAAGTGTGGTGAAATTATTGAAGATGTGTATAAAAATACCATGAACAAGTAAAAATTGAAAGTCAGGAAACTCAAAATCAGACATGAGATTAAATTAGGAACATGAAAAACAAGGAATATTTTCTGTTTGTCATATAAGGAAGAGCAAGAATATCAAGAAAAGTACTGAAGAAATGAAGTTTTTAGAGGGTTGTGTAAAGTAACCTCTAAACTCTTAATTACTTTTTCTGACAACTAATGGAGGATTTTCTGAGATTTTGAAAGTCTAAGAAAAAGTAGGTATAATGATCCTTTCAGCAAAACAGGAAAAAAAGAAAGAACTGGAAAATTCTACTATAGATAATTTAAAAAGTTTGGTTTCTAAGAAAATACAGAAACAAACCCATTTATCTACATAACCAGAAGAGACAAATAACAGCCAGTGTGACTTCGTCAAGAGCAAACTGTGTAATACAGCATAGTTTCCTCTGTGGCAGAGTCAGAAGTGTCTGGAGAGAAGGAAAGTAATAGCTGTCACAATTCTTGTCTGGTGAGGAAATAACACAATAGATATTTTTTGTCTTACAGTGAGGGCTTAGATGAGATAGTGAGAAGGTGTTGGCAAATGTATTTGAAAGATGAATACTTTGTTTTAGTGGCTCATTAATGAAATGTATAATTTCTTGAATAGGATTATGTGTGGAGGCTTTAACAGATGTAGAACATGTCCATATTTCCACTGATGGGTGTAAAAATATTAAGCCAGTGAGTAAGCCACGGTCAGGTGTCTGTAAATGTGTTTGAGCACCATCTTAAAACTGATGCAGCTCTGTTCAGGACAAGAGGACTAGAATGCACCAAGGAGGCATGGAAAGTCACCTGGAGAATTCATGGGGATGGGCCACTACCTCAGCTTTACAAAGGCTGCACAATCTGCAGGACTGCCAGGCAGAAGGAGGTGCACATCCATTAGGATGAAGTTCTCTTGCACAGCAGATTATGCCATGTTGTTCTAAACAGACATCTCACCTGGAATACACTGGGAAAATATGACCTTTGAGGAAAGACTGAGGTTTCTCATGTCTCTTTTCGAGTCTTCTCTTTTCTAACAAAACAGTTCCCCATTGTATAAAAGGCTATGGCTAAGAAAAAAGGAACAGTTAGTTCTCCATAATCGTATGGGACAGTAGATTTTAGACCTGCAGAGAAAAGCCTTCCAAAACAGTGGGAGGACATTGCTCCCACCTTATCTAAGTTACCTTTAGAAACAGGAGTGTCATCCTTTTTCCCAGGAAGCATTTCTAATCAGAAGAGATGCACACCAGCCAGCTGGAATTGATATAGACAAACAATTTCTTAGAGCTGGAGGGAAACATATTTTTCTGTGTGTCCAGCCTTCCTACCTATGGCCTGTCAGACCACTTATATTTTAGGAAACCATTGCTTGTACACCAGTAAAAACTCATTTGCAGATGTGTAAACCTCCCAGATGGGAGTAGTTTTATTTATGACTAACACAAGGAAAGCTGGAGGCTGTCTTCTGCCTTTCAATGTCTCTCCTCCAGTAGCAATCTGGGCCCTTCCAGTATGTGGTAAAATACAAGCCTTGTTTTATCCCACAGTGGCAGGGAGGAAAAAGGTTGAAGTAAAACCAATTAAATGTCTTTCGAGGAGACTAACACATTTTGGATTCTGGTATCCCAAAGGAATGAAGTTTTCTCTCACCAGGTCTTTGAAGAAAGCCTGAAGTGAAGTTTAGCTCTTCTTACAGTCCAGCATATTGTTGCCTGGCAGTTTTTATCATCCACCTTGTACCAGGTCAGATTTGTGGAAGGAGAGAAATAGCCACTTATCAGAAATGTTTAATAGTGCAGGAAAACATAGGAATGATCAAAATGTCCAGGAATTATATGAAGTGGATACCACAGGACAGAACAATGCAGTTAGAGGATGTACTCAGGATGCCCTACATGTGAACAGAAGGTCCTTTGAACTTGGCAAGATGTGGTGTTTTTCTGATTGAAAAAAAGGTTTTGTGGATGCACTATGGGTTATGAAAATTGCTGTATGTGCTTTTCAGCTGTGATTTGAGAGCTGAAAAATTGCAAAAGCCTGAACTATTCATATTGAATCAAAATTGGCACACTTTTGGATCCAAACTTTCCAGATATTCATGCTTCATTTGGTGTGAAAGTTTATGTTCAGTTCAAGATAAGTGCTTTTGTTTCAAAATATTCGGAAGAAAAAGTGTCTGACCATGATACTCCAGGCTCCAAATATGAAAGAGCCAAGATCAGTTCCTGCTTCTGCACTCAGGGTTTGAAATTTAGCAGTAAAATTTCCTCCTAACAAGGAAGAAGAATGAAGGTCCAAATGTACAGATGTTCATAGCTGCAGAAGTGGAGAAACTGAGGCAGCATCTCTTGAGGCAGACTAGGGCCATGTAATTGCCATGCAATTGAAACCATGCAGGAATGGCAGGTGGAAATCTAAATTACCTTTGCAAATGGAGCCAGCAGGGCCAGAGCAACCCTTTAGTGGGCTGATGTACTCAGAATTAAAAGACTCACAGGGGTATAAGTGTTCCCTGGGCTTTCAGGGATATTCAAGCGACACCATGACAGCCACTGCTGGCATAACAATGATAACTGAAGTAGATACAGTCTAAGCTTGCAATAGGATAATGTTCTTTGAATGGCCTTAGGCAGACAATGGAGGATTTTGGAGGAGGATGAGGCTGTTATTTTAGGAAACTTGCACTAGAGTGTCACACAGCATAATAACATCTGAACACGTGTGGTTGCACAGACTGTTTTTCCAATAGCTTTAAACACAAATTGCAGAATTGGCATAAGACCCCTGCTATGTCACATGTCAGTAGATGCCATTGAAACAGTGTTCCAGGTGGAAACCTTAAATATGTAAGCCGTCCCAAAGGCTTAGGTGGGAAAACAAGGTGAAATTTCAGGCACTAAAAGTCCTCCCCTCCCAACAACTCACATGACAGTCTCTCCCTAGTCCTAGCATGAAAACTACTGTAAATTTGTGGAGTAAAATAATCTGGCTGATGTGGTGCAAAACACACTGCCCAGAAAAAGAAGTAATGCTAGGGCCTTTTATAGGATTGTGTCCAAAGCAATAGGGGCAAACACTGCCTTGCAAGCAAAAAGAAGGATGGGATGTGCTGAGGGTGCTCAGGCTGCTAAGATGCTTTGTGTTCCTTCTGCATGGGAACATTGTTTTTCCCCCTAAACAAGAAGCTGTGGGGATGGGAGCTGCAAGTGTCTAATCTAATTTGATTAGGCATTATCCTTACAGGGTGCTGTATTGACAGCTATACTCAAACCTTTCTGACCCACTCATCTGTTGGCATAACGAGATTGCAGCTTATCTGATTTACCACATAATATTCTCATGCCACCTGCTTGTACAAGAATAAGCTTTCCTGCCTGCAGCC